AAAAAAAAAAAAAAAAAAAAGATGGTGAAGGAGCTTGTCCTCCAAACATGGGCTCAAGGGGGCTGATTCTTTCCTTTACCTGTAGAGAAAAGTCTAGCGCCATGCACCTAAATGGGTCCAAAAGTCTTGCCTCTGAATGGAAACTGTTCAGGGCTAAGCATCAGTGTTTGAAAATAATGCCAAGTGTTAAGAGGCCCACTGCACTCAACCATGGCCCTGATATAAGCTCCTATGGAGCACAATCCAAGAATAAGAAACAAAAATTGTTTTAAAGTTGAGTTGTAAAAATGCAGCTTATTTGCATATTTGTCTACATCGGTGGCAAATAAACAATTACAATTTTATGATCCCAGCCGGAGTTAATTTTACTCTTTTTAATAAAGGAGAATTGTTAAACAAGTTTAATTTAACATAGAGTAAGGTAACCTGCATTCAAATCCCACACCTGCCACTTGACAGATGTGTGGTCTCAGCAGAGTTATTAATCTCTTTATTCCTCTGTTTCCTGATCTCTACACTGGGGACAATAAAAATATCTACCTTGTGAGGTTATCCTGAGGATAAAACAAAATAATCCACGTAAAACACTTGGCTCAGTACCTGGCACACTACGCATTTTCAATAATGTTAGTGATTATTATATAACTTTCACGTAAATAAATGCACAGATCTGAAATAATTTCTTTGGAAGACAGCTCAGGAAATGTGGCCACCCTAGTCCAGGTCACGTGACATCACTGGAAGTCCCACAGATCACCAGGCCACCTCAGTAACCTTCCTCGCCTGAAGAAAGGTTGGACTAGATCTGTGGTTCTCAAACTGTGCTCTTCCAATGAGTAAGAGAGATGGGATGAAGAACGGAAAGGGCGGTTCGACTGTTCTCTGCCTTGTCTGTTAAGTGATGTCTTACCTGGAAATTCTGCCACATTGAATTTCCAGGTAAGACATCACTTAACCGACAAAGATTCTGTGGCTGAAATCAATTTGGAAATCACTGGACCACACTGCCTCGGGTGTCCCCCAGCTGTTATATCCCATTATTCAGTGAAAACAATGAAATCTATAACAAGATAGAATGTTAGGCTTCACTGAAAAAGAAAAGCAGAGAAAGACCTGTGGGTGAATTGTTTATGATGTTCACTGAGAAACAGAAACGATTGTTCTGGGTTTTAAATATCTAGCAGATGTTTTTCTGTCTTTGGGTAGGGTCAACTAGGACACTTTCAAGTTTGTTTTTCTATCTGGAGAAAAGTCATTTAAAAATCCAACATTCCTTTTACACAGTCAAGTAAATATCTATCCATGTTTGTGAGTGGGTGAAATCTTTGTCTAGTTAGTGTCCAGGTCAAAGGTGTCTTGGTGCCCCGTCATCTACCTGTCTGCTGCTCAGTTCTAACTGTCTTGGAAAGTACAGGACATGGTCACCTGGACCTCCTTCCAGCAAGGCAGTCACTGTAGACCCTGCTCTCTGAGCTTTATTGAGTAGAAATGGATAAAGGGTAATAGATCTTAGGTTACACCCTTACTCTCTTTACAACACATCTGGAATAAAATGTGAGGTCACCAGCTTACCACCACCACACTCTTGGATGCGTCCAGCACATGGATTACAGGTGCACTGTATCTTGGAGCTATTTTAACTGCTGTGTGGGTTCTAAAAAGAGGGGTCAGAAAGAAAACACATCCATCAGCACTGACAGTTCCTGCACAACTCTTGTTCAGAGCCATTAGAGATAACATATTTCTACAGTGCTTTCCAGAGAAAGATTTCAAGTTGCTTACCTACAAATATTGAACTTCAAATTTTCCTTGTAAAACACAAATGACTTTTTCCCTACCCTAAGATGGGAAACTTGGCCCAGGCTCTGCAGAAGTCTGTGGCAGCATGAGGAAGACCTTGTCCTTCGCTCCATCAACAAGGGACTGAGCCTATGCATGACCTGGTGCTCATTAGCAGCCTGTGTGACCTAAAGGAGGTAACCAGTCCCAGGAAATCATACAGCTGTCATCAAGGTCAAGTTGAGTTCCCTCTTCCAAATGGGCTGGGATAGCAGCCAGGGCCCCTAAGGAACTGGGAACCAGGCAGAGGACACAGGACATGGCTGTCTAGCAGCTGCTCCCCTATTCATGGGAGACATCAACACTCCTTGGCCCCAATCCCAACTTGTACTCGCAGTATGGAACCCCAAATCCGCAATTCAACACAAAATAATACAGAGAGGCAAAAGCAAGAAAAATCTTTTATTTTTAATATTTAAGACTGGCTCAGCCCCAAATCCCTACTGCCAAACTTGCAAATGTTGGTATTAGGTAGAAACACCTTTTCATTCTTAAAACTACAGCTAGTGCTCAACTTATGACCACGATTGGTTCCGACAGACCGGTCGTAACACGATATGGTCGTAAGTTGAGTAGGCTATATGCACGCGGAGATGGTAGTGCTGCCGGAAGCTGGTCCGCACTGTCGTACGCCCAGCTGGGCAACGTTTGCGCTGCCAGACGCGGAGCAGTCGTGGCTAGCGATTGTGGTCGTAAAGTCTAATGGTCGTAAGTTGCATAGGTCGTAAGTCGATCGATACCTGTACCTAATTAACTGAAGTGGAAAACAAACTGCCCTCTGATTACTAGATGTTTATAGCAATAGGACAGACTATAGATCTGCCATTTCATGGTAGGACATAATGAATTAAAATGAAAACTGAAAATGTGTACAGTCTCCCTAACAGTGGTGAATCCGGAACCCTGGAGAGGGAGGAGAAGGGTAGACTGTCCACATCCTACTTCGAAGGGCGGCCAACAGCAGTCCCCACAAGATGGACAGTGCGTTCCGTCTTTTCTCCTCTCTCCTCCTCCCCAGAAGCAGCAGTACCCTTCCCTAAGTCAAGTGCTTTCATATTCTTCCCTTCAACAAAAATGTATGTTTGGAATATTATCTAGAATATGCTATTATATGAGAAAGAAACAAAGTAGCAGAATACCATGTTTAATGCAATTGCATTTTTAAAAAAACACCACCCTCAATCTTTTCCAAACAACCAACCAATCCTATATCTAAGTTTCTATATATTTAGAAAAAACACGGGGAGATACACATGAAAGTGTCCACACTGGTCATATGGGGGTTAGAGGTGAGGCTGAAGGTGGCAAGAGAGAGACTCAATTGTACTTTACATTCCTCTGAATTGTTTGACATGGTCTAGTAAACGTGGATTATTCAGGTAATTTTTAAAAGCCAAGAGACTATAATAGGTGTAATACATGTATGAGTGTGTTTTTAACGGGCTTCTCAAAGAAGGCTCTAAAAACTCCAGATAAGACCAGTAACACTTCACCTGTTCCATCTCCCTAACAGTATCTCCACTCATAAACAGGAAGCAAAGGACTACAAAGCCTTAAGCTATGAGAACTGAGCTGGAAGACCGGCATTCAGGGATAAGCCAATGAGTCAAGAGCCATCCTGGGAAGGCTGGGGTATGGAGTGGCGGGGGGCCGGACCATGGCCCTTGGGGCAGCTGAATGAACTCCATGGCCTCCTGAGACCCTCCTGTTTTATGCCTAGTGTGTGCTCAGGGAACAAACATTAGAAGATATCGTGGGTATTATGTGAGGAGAGGATATTTAAACAGTTGACAAAGCAGTTAGAGAAGACACAGCTTCTAGTTTCAAAACAACACAACTGAAACTAAGCTTGCTTCCTCATGTTCAGATGGTAAGCTCCTTGAGCACACAAATATGCCTCAATACAAATTCTGTGTAAAACATACACTCTTTAAGGAATAATTACTTCAAGCCTGATGACCATTACATGATCTTTCTCTTAAAGAGAACGTATACAATTTTAAATTTAAAGATCAACACAATTAATATTTATTAAGCACTCAAGGATTCCCACTCAATTCTGACCAATTCTCTCTTTGATGGTCATCTGGACAGGGGCACTGAGAAGAAACTGATGGATTCCACTGTTAGAAAATATACAAAAGCAAAGTGCTGCTTTCTAACATAAAAACTGACAAAGCTAGATGGCCAGAGGCACGAAATTTGCTTAGCCATTAAGAGTGCTTCTGGCTGCCATATAATTTGACTCCAATAATTGATTCTACTTTCTTCTAAGTTTCCACTCAAGCAAGCTTCTCCAGCTGTAAGACTTCTTTTTGAAGTCTAAAAAAATGCAAAATATCAGAATCTCTTCTCCCCTTCTTACACATAAAAAGTAAAAACCTAGAAACTGAGGCTGAATCTCAAATCCTGTCTCTGCTAAGTCACTCATGGACACTTAGGATTTAATTAGTCACCTCCCACACCTGTCAAACAGGTATAATGGTGTTAACCTCAGAAAATGTTTTTTAATACTATGAATAAGAACAGATATTCTATGCATTTATTTCATATTGTATACTATTACAGACTTAATTTATGGTCTTTTACACAAATACAGCATGGCCAGCACTTAAAATTTGGTGAGAAAAATGAGAGAAAGAAAAAACAGAGATGGGACAATTTAAGATAGAATCAGGAGTGAGATTAGCATATAAAATCCATTCCTGAAATCCTATACACTGGTCTAAACTCTCAGCTTCCCTGTGACCAATACAGAGAAGAAAATGAAATTACTTATAGGACTCAGTATCTTATTTCCTACAATTAAAAAAAAAACTCAGAAAATTAACTATAAGAAAATTGAGTTAATTTTCTTAACTAAGAAAATTACCTTTGAGTAATGTGACTTTCTGTTGAATTCTCCATGTATTTTTTTTTAAAGATATTTTGCAGTTGTTGGCTATAAATCAGTTAAAAATTGAAAGATGACTGCCAGATCTCAGGCCTTTGAAAAGTTCTGCGGCTAAAGGACCAGATTTCCATTAAAGTTTTTTCTAGTTTGTAAAACCAAAACCATCTATATTACAGATAGAAGAATATCCGATTTTCTATTCTCTCATAGCTACAGGTTAAAAAAGGACACTCAAAGCATATTTCCACCTATACTTAACCTCAAATCTATATAACTCTTTCAATTTCTCCAAATATCGATTCATCCACTAGACCAAGCTTGTCCAACATGCAGCCCAACACAAAGCATCCCAACACAAATTCGTAAACTTTCTTAAAACATTATGAGATTTTTTTGCAATTTTTTTTTTTGGTTCGTTAGTTATTCTTAGTGTTAGCATATTTTATGTGTCGCCCAAAACAATTCTTCTTCCAGTGTGGCCCAGGGAAACCAAAAGACTGGACACTCTTGCACCTGACAGCCTTAACCTTCGTTTTGAGTGTCTTGGGGGTACAGTTCTAGTTCTACTCAAGCTACTGTAAGCCACCTATGTCTGGGAAAGCCATAGGCTTATTTCCCCTCAGCAATGTTTTCATGAAAATGTGGAAATCCTGAGCTAATTAGCTACTGCTAAGTCCTCCACTGGTTTGTAGGAAATAATAGTAAGGGCTCTTAGATGGGCTTCTGAGACACTCCAACTCCTCAATGCTTTCTAGAAAAGGTGGCTCTCCTAGGAGATGATTTACTTATTCAGATGCAAGAGGCATTAACCATATATGAAGAGACTAATAAATCACACTTTATAAATTTAGAACTTTCATTATCCAAAGACAGCACTAAGACAGCAAAAGGCAAGCCAGATTGAAAAAAAAATCTATTTTTTCAATATATATATTTCTGATAAAAGAGGGCTTGTATATACTATAAAGAATGTGTACAAACCAGTAACAATAAGGCAGAATACCCAATTTTTAAAAAATACTTAAAAAGCATATCCAAATGGTCAATATACAAATGAAACTGTGCTCGACATCACTGATCAGCAGAGAAATGCAAACGGAAACGACAGCAAGGTATTACCACACCCATGACAACGGATACGACTGCAGAGGATGTGGAACTTTCAAAATGGCTGATGGGAGTGTAAACTGCTAGAGTGACTTTGGAAAACTCCGTGGCAATAGTTAATAAAGATGATCACAGGCATACCATATGGTCTGGCAATTCTGCTTCCAGGCAGAAATACACATACATGTGCACCAAAATTCATAAGAGTAAATGTTCATAGCAGCATTGTTTGTGATTGCCCTAAAGTGGAAAACTCCAAATGTCCACTAACAGTAGCAAAAGAAAATAAGTCACAGCACACTAGACAATGGAATACTACGTTTAAAAACAAAACAAAACACCCCTAACAACTATTGTAACAAAGCTGGACCTAAGAGACATGATGTGGGGCAAAAGAAGCCAGATCCAGGAGAATATATACAATATGACTCCATTTATATAAAGTTGAAATGCAGGCAAAACCAACCTATGGTGACAGAAGAAGGAACAGTGGTTACTTTTGTTGGAAAGGATGACTGGGTGGGGGAACCTGGTGAGGTTCCTAGGGTGCCATTAGTGTTCTATTTCTTGATCTGGAGGTGGTTACATGGGTGGGTTCCCTTTTGTAAAAACTTGTCAAGTTGTACATCTGTATGATTCGTGTACTTTTCTGTATAACTGCTAAACTTCTGTAAAAGCACTTACTTAAATAAGAGAGCTTGATAAAGCAAGACTTCAGGTCTCAGACCTCATCCACTGCCACTAATTAGAATGGAGTCAGAACTGGGGAATTCTACACTGAAGTTCCTGGAGGTTGCACAAGAATATTTTCCAAAGGCTGTTCCAGCACCACAGTGTAGAAGGGAATAGTTCCCGGAAGCAGAGCTACCTACTAGCTCTTATTTTCCAAGCAATTTCCGAGAAACTGCAACAGGCATAGACAAGAAGAGAACCAGAAGAGGCAGAGCTCATAGAGAAGCAAAGCACTGGAGAGTTGAAAGAAACCTTAGCAGGTCAGGGGACCCAGCTTCTACCTTTAGGCCAAACACATTCACAGTTTCCCAGACAATGAGAATAGGTATTTTGCAGTAACTGAAGAGATGTTGGTGATTTCCTATCTTGTCAATTCTAATTTGATATACCAGGCTATAACTGCTAAAAATCATTAACAGGGTAATACAGCCAATAACGCATCTTGAGAGGCTAGCCATGTTGCTTCTCAATGTTTTTTTTTTCTTTAATCTGGTAGGTCTTACATGGGAAATGATAAAATGGACTATTAGGTAAAGTTCCAATTTGCACAAGTAGCAAATTTCTGAGTGCAGCGTCCCACCATATAAAAAGGTTCTTATTTTGAAGCCAGCATCATATTTACATAACTCATAATGTATTTTAATTATGCTCATTCAAATATTTATTTATTCTACTTTACAACTGATATTAAAAAGTCTGTCATTCTGAAAACAGTCCATAGGTCCTCTTACCATTCTCTTCACTAAGCTTGTCATCAGTTACCCAAGACCATGATCAAAACCCATTATTAATGGTTGGCCATATCCCTTGAGACCAACTCTGCCATATTTCCTAGTACATAAGTCCTTTGTGGAAAAACCAATCCTAGTTTCTAATGTTAGCAATGATAATCAAACTATTGAATCCTTTAAGTATGAAGAAGAAGCTAATAGATACAAGACACATAATACTGTTTCTACTTATGAAGATGATCCATTCAAATTTTAAATAGTATGATGGTTAATTTCATGTATAAACTTGGCTAGGCCATGGTATACAGTTTTTGGCTAACCACAATCTAAATGTTACTGTGAAAATATTTTTTTTTAGATGTGATTAACATTTTAATCAGTAGACTTAGAGTAAAGCAGATTATCATCCACAATGTAGATGGACCTTGTCCAATCAGTTGAAGGCCTTTAAGAGACAAGACTAAGGTCCCTTGCTCACTTCCCACCCCTACAAGGAAGAAGAAATTCTACCTTCAGCCTGTCTTTAGACTCAAGAAATCAACTCTTACCTGTGTCTCCAGGCTGCAGATTTCAGACTTGCCAGCTTCCACCATCACAGGAGTTAATTATTTAAAATAAATCTCTCTCTCTACATATAAATACACCCTATTGATTCTGTTCCTCTGAACCACCCTATACAAATTGGCTTACTGTACAGTTGTTTCTAGTGCAAAAGGAACTCTGGTATACCTATAACCACACCTTTATTGCATTTCTGCATCAGAAAAATAAACTAGATGCTATGGGACCATTAAGTTCAATGTTCCAGCATGATAATGCTCCTGAGAAAGTGAACTGTGGTGGCATAAAAAGTCTAGTACCCACAGTTAGGGTATCACTTACCACATTTCACTATGATCATGATCCCAGGAAAAATCTGGTAAACAGAATAATTATCATGCGAACAAATTTGAACTTTCTCATTTTTACATTTTATACCTCTTAATGCTGCTAACCCAAAGGTTCCCAAAAAGCTCCCCTTTCAGAAACTCTACGAAGTGATCATTAGTTCATTCTTTCTAGACGGGTTTTCTGTCTCCAAACTACTACAAGGTTAGAGTTCCTTCAAAGGAACCTGTAATTATTCAACCAGACACCTGCTTCAAGACAGAGTGGGCAAAAGTTCAAGTAATGACTTTGTGCCAAAAACACAGCTTCTCCACTCAGTTTGATTTCAAGAGAAGAGTTCATTAGAATTCTCAGGATCTGAATCAGAAGTGAGAGCATTAAGAAAAAGATTATTGCATGCCAAAGAAATCCAAGAAAAAGCAAAGAATAGGAATTATAAAAAAGTTTTCTATAGCATGCTCTGTAAGTATTCTGGCTCTTGCCCAAGTGAAGACCAGAAAATTTTGTGTTTATATAACAAAAAGTCAATGTACTAAACATAAGGGAAAATCCAAAACAAAACAGGTTTAGCATTGTTTTTAAACACTGGCATTTAAGAGAATTTGAAGTGAGCACAAAGCTCATTAGTGTAACTTACCTTGAAGTGGTTGCTCCTCCAATCAACAATGGAATCTTTATAGCTAATCTCTCCATTTCCTTGGCAACAAAAATCATTTCATCCAGGGAAGGAGTGATAAGTCCTGACAGGCCAATTATATCTATTAAAAAAAAAAAAAAAAAAAAAAAAAAAAAAAAAAAAAAAAAAAAAAAAAAAAAAAAAGGACAGTGAGGAGAATAAAAGAAAAAGGAGAAAAATGAAGATCCATTTTTATAATAAAGACCAAAAGACTTAACATGAATTCCCGATTACAATTCTTTTTTTTTTAGATGGAGTCTCATTTGTTGCTCAGGCTGGAGTACAGTGGCGCGATCTCAGCTCACTGCAACCTCTGCCACCTGGGTTCAAGCAACTCTCCTGCTTCAGTCTCCTGAGTAGCTGGGATTACAGGTGCCCACCACCAAGCTTGGCTAATTTTTGCAGTTTTAGTAGAGCTGAGGTTTCACCATGTTGGCCAGGCTGGTCTCAAACTCCTGATCTCAAATGATCTGCCTGCCTCAGCCTCCCAGGGTTACAGGTATGAGCCACTGTGCCTATCCCCAATTTCTAATTCTAAGATATCTTTTCTGACTGGGGAATTTCAATTTATTGTTTGCTTCTGGTAGTAAATAAAATTTATAACTTAAGGTTGCAATAATTACTTGCCATAGTTTTTTTGGTAGTAAATAAGAAATCAACTTAAGGTTGTAATAATTACTTGCCAGTTTTAGGAAGCCATGCAATAGAAGATATCTTTAGCTCATGATTTCCCAGACTTGAATACATCACAGTGTTAAGAAGAAATACAAAAATGACTACACACAGAGAAAAAGAATCTCATACAACTGTTCTCCTATAAGAAGGTCTGTCCCCATCTCCAGTACTCGGTTCCATGGTTACTCACTCACCTCTCTCAGCCCCCATTAGGAATGGCAACAAAAGCAACCCCGTTTAGGAGCTGGCACTTGACTGTCTGTATGTCCCACAGATCCCTCTATTCACTAACAGACACCTGGGGGAATGACAGACACCTGGGGATATGACATTTAGAGAAATTCCCAAAGTACAGTTGCACAGTACCTGCTTTGTGGTCAAGAGCAGCTTTCAGTATCTTATCACATGGAGTCATGACTCCTAAATCAATAACTCTGAGGCACAGAAATGAGATATGGGAAAATTAATGAGAGCCCAGTAGAGACAAAACTGAAATAAACATTTTTATTTTGACCATTAAATACTGCTCTAATGTAAATGAGAATCAAGTTGAAATGCTCACTAAATATTGACGATTACCACCACAACTATCATTTATTCAGTACTTATTATGTATATGCCAGGCACCATGCTACGACTGCTTTTAAACAGCTTCACTGAGACATCATTCACATACCATACATTTCACCCATTTCATGTGTGCAATTCAGTGGTTTCTGGTATGTTATTTTTTTTAAACTGTGGTAAAATATATATAGTATATACTTTTCCATTTTAACCATTTTTCAACGTACAATCCAGTAGCATTAATTTCAGTTACACTGTCGTGCAACCATCACCACTATTTATGTCTGAAACTATTTTATCATCCAAAGCAGAAACATTGTCACCATTTAGCAATAACTACCCCTTTTTCTCTCCCACCCTCTCCACTCCATCCCCTGGTAACCTCTATTCTACTTTCTTTCTCTACGAATTTACCTAATCTAGATATTTCATATAAGTAGAACAATACAGTATTCATTCTTTTGTGTTTGGCTGACTTCATTAGCACATACCTTCAAAGTTCAACGATGTTTTGAGGCATGTCAGAAGTTCAGTTTTTTTAAGGCTGAAAAATACTCCACTGTATGGAGATACCATGTTTTGCTTATCCATTCATCTTTTGAAAGACACTGTGCTAAGCTTTTCACATAAGCAATCTCTTTTGTTTTTGAGACAGGGTCTCACTGTCACCCAGGCTAGAGTGCAGCGGCATGCTTACAGCTCACTGCAGCCTCAACCTCCTGCCTCAGCCTCCAGAGTAGCTGGGACTACAGGCATGCCCCACTAAATCTACAAAAATTTTTAAAGTTTTTGTAGATAGGGTTTCCCTATGTTGCCCAGGCTGGTCTCAAACTCCTGGGTTCAGGTGATCCTCCCCCCTGGGCTTCCCAAAGTGCTGGGATTACAGGTGTGAGCCACAGCGCCCAACCTGCATAAACGATCTTATTAAATCCTCCTAGTAACTCTATAATGAAAGCACTACTACGGGCCTCATTTTCATGAGAAGGGACCCAGAAAAATTAAGCAATCTGTCTAGTCATACAACTAATTAGAGGCAGAGTTAGAATCTGAATCAGTATCTCAAACCAAAATCCATTATTTTATCCATTTAGGCCAATAAAAAGGGCTGGGCAAGTTCCTCAATAAATATTTGTTGAACATGGAAGCCAGTGGGGAAGATCATCAGAAAGAGGTCAGGTCCTGCACATGAACAGCTGTCAGGGAAACCTGATTACTTAAGGCAAGAGAGGGAGAATGATTCAGGGAGCAGGTCACTGCCGGCAAGAGGGCAACACTCAAAGGAAAAGCTGACTCTAAATGGGCACACAGGAGAGACAGAGCAGGCCCTGGGACAGAGGAAGCCTGGAGCACACTCTCAGAGAACCAGATGGCGCCAGACAAATTTCAATTCATGGAGGAGAGAGCTTCCTAGAACTCAGAGGAAAAGGAATGGCTACCCTGGTAAATGTTCTATGAATTACCTATTTTAGAATTAATTATTTTATTATTTTATAGTTAGTACCCTTAATGTCATTTTGATAATTTAATCTTCTATTTGTTAAAAGATGTTGAAAAACTTATGGCATGCATTTTTACTTATTTCATTACATCAACAATTCTTAAAATTCAATAGGCAAAAACGTTTAAATAACAAGAACAAAGAATGCTTAAGAACTACGACACGACACACTGACTGGTCACAATGGGTGCTGAACACTGGGGCAGGAAGGGAACTGGCTTCTCACTATATGCCCTTTCAGACCACTGAATTTTTAGCTTGGACTCATATTACTTTTTTAAAAAGAAAAAAAAAAAAAAAAAAACTAGGACATATGGTATCTTCAGTAAAAATAAGACAACTTAAAATCAATGATAAGTATATTCAGCTTGGCTGGCACTAACCCGGTAGCAAAGACACACTGGAGGTGCTAATGATGCAGAACCACTGCAGGTTACAGCAGGAGCGAGATGGTGCCACACACTCCTTTTTTCCTTTTTAACATATTGAAGAAAGTCTAGTACCTGGATCTTTTATTAAACAATGACTAAGCATAGACTGTCACATATAAAACTAGGAAAAACTGCATACTGCTTTTAACTCAAGACAAAAAGGCAAAGCTGATTTCTTTTTTCAACACTGTATATGTTTTAAAATTCAACTAAAACTCATCAGTATGATGGCAAGAATCATCTTGCTCTTACTACTTATTCTTGTTTCAGCAGTGTTTCTCACAGGAATGTGTTACACGCATGCTTGCCACGTTTAAGGAAGAGCAAGGAGATTGTTGTGGCTGGAACATACATGGAGGAGGATAAAGTTGTGGGTGATGAATTCGAAGGAGGAAGGAAAGGCCAGAGCCTGGGTAGACTGCATCAGAATCATCTGGGGAGCTTTTTCCAAAATCAAACAACCAGAAGCCTGGACTCCATTTTCCAGAGATTGTGATTTAACTGGCCAGGGGTGGGGTCCAGGCAGCTTCCACTACACAAGGGCCCTACAGACCACTGCAAGGGCTCTGAGTTTTGCTGAGTGAGGGGAGAAGTCACTGGAGGGTTTCAACAGTGGAGTAGGAAATCTAACCTACATTTAACAGATTTACTTTGGACTGAACCAAGTCCAGGGTGGAAGCAGAGAGAATAGTTAGGCTGCTGCAAAAATCTAGACAAGAAGCAGTGTAGGTAGTGAGACATGGTCAGATCCTGGACATACCGTGAGAGCAGATCTGATGGGTTACATGCGGGTTATTTGGTGAGAGTAAGGATGACGCAAGAGTTTCGGCTTGAGCAGCAAGAAAAATGAAGTTGCTATTTATTCAAATGGGAGAGTTGGGAGGTGTTCACAAAATGGTGGCAATTAGTTCAGTTTTCAAAATATTAAATTTGAGATTTCTTTAGAGATCCAAATGGAGGTCTCAGGGAGTCAACTGGATATGTAAGTCTACGTTTGGGGGAGAGATCCACACTGGGGATACAACTGGGGACTTGTCGGTGTATCAGATGACACTGAAGTCACAAAACAAATGAGAAGACTTCAGCCCACCCTAGGCCTTCCTCCTCCCCGTGTCTTCCTGTCCCAGCAGCACCAGCACTACCTGAGAGCTTGTTGGGAGTGCACAGCCTCCAGTCCAGACCTACCCTAATCAGAATCTGACTTTTAACAAAACCCCAGGTGGCAAGAAGGCACATTATAGTTTGAGGAACACAAACCTAGACAGTGAAGACAGAGAAGAGGTCCACGGGCTGAGTCCCAGAACATGTCTGTGTTTAAAGACCACTCCCAGAAGGAGAAATCAGCAGGAGAGCATCACAACCACTGATCTGTGTGGTAAGAAGACAACCAAGAACGCTGATCCAGGGGCCTGAGTGACAAATTCCATTTCCAGCTTATTGACCTGCCTTTCATCTTGCTGGGGAAACGGTCAAATGTACTACTGACTAGAGGAGCACTTCCCACTTTGTCCACACATAGAAAACGACACTTATGGCACTGGGATGCACAGAGGAAGCTGTTCACAGCCCTGGGCAGCCAATCTAAGACGGAGGCCCCGCTCTACTCTCCAGCAGGAAGGAGAATGGGTTTCCTGTCACATCTGCGCTGAGAAACTGTTGGCAAGCTCTGAATGAGAATATGGTGTGGCAAGTACTACAATGGAAGCATTTACAATGTACTATATATGGGAGGCCCAAAATGGATGACAATTAGAAGCATCCTAGGGGGAAGCCTGAAATGAATTTTTTTTTTTTTTTTTTGAGACAGTCTTGCTTTGTCGCCAGTCACTAGGCTAGAGTGCAGTGGCGCGATCTCAGCTCACTGCAATCTTCACCTCCTGGGTTCAGGCAATTCTCCTGCCTCAGCCTCCCGAGTAGCTGGGACTACAGGCATGCACCACCACGCCCACCTAATTTTTGTACTTTTTAGTAGAGACGGGGTTTCACCCTGTTGGCCAGGATGGTTTCGATCTTTTGACCTCGTGATCCACCCGCCTCGGCCTCCCAAAGTGCTGGGATTACAAGCATAAGCCACTGCGCCCAGCCTGAAATGAATTTTGAAAAATTAAGTGGGTATTAGCTGAAGGAAACAGGGAAGTCTAGGCAGAGACCAGCACTATGAAGGCCCAGAGTCCTGATCCAGCTAGAATCCCAGGGTATGTGAAGTCGGAGAAGAGGGTACGGGTCAGATCCAGGCCTGCCCTCTGCGCCTGCTACCATTCTGCCCACCTTCCCGCTCCTTCCCTCTCACCTCTACCGCAACCTCCTGTTTCACCCCTACACATAACCCCATCTTCCTTGACTCTCCCTCAGTTTCCTTTTGCCACTTTGAGCCATACCCTATGTCTGTAGGCCTCTCCCTGTAATATTTTGTCACATGGGAGGCTAAAGAGAACAAAAATGAATGTTACAGAAGATGCTGATTTTACAGTATTTGTTTTAAAGTGCTTAGAACAGAGGTTGGGTATGGTGGCTCATGCCTGTAATTCCAGGGCTTTAAGAGGCCAAGGCAGGAGGATCACTTAAGACCAGGGGTTTGAGTCCAGCCTGGGCAACATTAGCAAGACCTTGTCTCTACAAAAAAAAAAAAAAAAAACTTTTTTTAAGTGCTTAGAATAAAGCTATGAGAGGAAACATTTAATCTGGACTACTAATCCAGAAAAAAAAAAAAGTTGCACTGAATGCAACTTTTTAGCAAAGGCATCTGATACTACTTAAGAATAGTATTAGATCTTTAAAAAAAAGAATACATAGAATTTCAAAAATAAACTGTAATATGAGATAAAAAGTCCTTTTCCTCTCCAGAATAAATTTTAAAAAGAAAATAAAACTTTTTATTAAAAATAAATAAAATAAAATATAATAAATAAAATAAATAAAAATAATCTGTATTCTTTTA